TCTCTTTCCATTCGAAAAATCCACAGCTGTCTATCTGAGGGCAACAGTAAAACAGGCAGTTCTGGGTGGGTCCTTCTTTTTTCACTTTACGTACGGTGCATACCATCCCGTGCTTGCAGCGTGGTCGAGAGCTTTCGTAAATGTCTCCCCATTGCCATAAGTTGCAAGGATCATGTCGATCAGAACACATGAAGAAGGGTCTTCCATAATTATCTTTCAATTTATCTTTTACCACACGTAATTTGGCCAATCTCTGATGTGTTGGGCAAATAGGATGATTGGAACCACTATTCTGACAGGCTTCCATTGCTCTCGTAAACAGATAACAATCTTCGTCATGGCAAAAGAACTCGCAGCTCGGTGTTTCGCCACAAAACCAAAACGTACCACGAGCAGTTGTAGAACAAGCAGCTGGTTTACCGTGAAAACATTCCATCGTGAGTGTTGAATACAGACTATGCAGGTGAGAGGACACTAGCTGTATTTATAGAGATGTTGCTGTATTGTAATGCTAATCGATCGCGTTGCCTGCCACATTTGGCCCAGGGCTGCCCGCGTTAATTGGTCGCGCTACCTGTCACATTCGGCCCAGGCCTGCCCGCGTTAATTGGTCGCGCTACCTGGCGTCATAAATTTTGCATACTAATTACTGTCGGAGCAACGTGACGTCATTGGCGGCATCCCTTTGTACTCCAGAGGGTGGGGGGGGGGGTCTTTACTACTAGTGCCCTTGGTATAGCTGATCTGATCAAAGTATCAGTATTAAATGTTGATGTGAACAATATTCTGACAGTGACGATTTATTTGTTTGCAAAAACGTATGTTATGAAACGGCTGTTGTCTAGTTGAGGCTGTGAGTTACCCTAAGACATAATCCATGGACCCAGCTTTTATTGTCCTATATTCAGTTCCTACTCCTTAGAACGGTGAGTAAAACTGTAAATGATACCTACAATACATTGGGGAAAGCGTTACTGTATGGACCTCTATAGAGAGTCACTATATACGGCAGTTATGAAATGCAACCCGTCCACAAAGTGGTTACACAGAAATTGCTTGAGATCGTTATCCAGGAATTTAGCGACTTGTGTTTTAGAAAGAAACTCTCAACTGTGTTAAGAAAAACTGGGGAGGATGATCTAATGAAATTCAGTCTGGAGCACCTATGTGGCTCTGTGCTGCTCAAGCAAAGAAATGGTGAAATGAGCGCGACCGCCTATGACGGCTATGTGTCATTGGGTATTCTCAAATAATCTCGCTCGACTGAGGTTATATAATGCACTTAATACTACACTTAAATACTACTGATATATAGTTTTAGTTTTCATTTAGGCTTGTACAAAAAATCTGTAAAGCAAAAGTGCTCGCAGGTTTTATGAGTTCCAGTGGCGTAACGGTATATCAGGGGGCCCCCGGTTCAAAATTTTCGAAGGCCCCCCTAGTAGAAGTGCCAAAGGCACGAGTCGAGCGCCGTATATGCACGAAATTTCTAGGGGGTCCAGGGCATGCTTATCCGGAAAATGTTTGAATTTAGACTCTCTGAAATGCCATTTCCTGGACTTTGGGGAGAGATTTTACAGAATTTTGATGGTCATAAAACTACATTGTAACATATCAGAGGCCCTGACCAATGTTTTTGCTCTATTGCCTAAGCCTGGGGGCCCCCATTTAGGTTGGGGCCCCCGGGTTCTCACGGTCTGAGCCCATAGTAGTTACGCCACTGATGAGTTCTCAGACTTCTATGACTATGGTTTCAAAAGTGTGCTGGTTTTATGCGTTAAATAAAACCCGACTCCCGAGCACTTTTGAAACCATGGCCTGTGACCATGGCATAGAAGTCTGAGAACTCATAAAACTCGCGAGCACTTTTGCTTTACAGCATATTTTTGTAGAAGCCTAAATGAAAACTAAACTACTATCAGTAGTATTTACAGTAAGTGTATTATTAAGTACATTTCTATAGAGTATTGTTTTAACTAGCAAATGTATAAATATATTTTTATATTTTTGATTTCGTGTTAATTTGAATACATGCAGTAATTTGAAATTGACAACTTGTCGTTCAAAATAGTTGTTATTTACAAATTTATATATATTATATATTTTTATTTAATTTTCCCCATGTATAAAAAAGCTACTTAAAATATATCTTTAAACGATTTTGGGCTAGATACCTACTAGACATCTTCGTAGACTTTTTATTTAGGCCTCTAGTTACTGTTCATTTGTGATAATTAAATAGTCAATTATTTACAGCAAGTCAATAGCCTACATGCAATATGTAAAAGGAGACGTTTTGAAGAATATATAAGTCTGTATTTACAACAGAGTAAAAGAAGAGCAATGTTCGCGTATTATATAAATTAATACTAATGTTGGCGATGCATTTAAATTTTTACAATGACTCGGCAACAATGACCAACAAAATACTAAACTAAAGTGCTATATATATTACTAAAGTATTACATATATTTTAATGCAGAAGTATGTTTTATCGCATGTCTTATAGTATAAATTGTCAATTGTGTATAGCAAACTGTTGTTTAATTTGCTTTTTGAAGTTTATATATGAATTTATTTCATTAAATTTTGTTTCTAACGAATTCCATACATCAACTCCTTTATATGAGAGACTGTGTTTCACATAATTAATATAATTTGTCCTTTTATAACATTCGTGAAGTTTTGTTGAATGAATTTTGTTGTTTGTCACAAAATAATTTTTAAATAAATCTGGTAAATTATTAAGCTGGTGGCACTGAAACATAAATAAGGCAGTTAAATAGTCAATGATTTATAAAGAGCAATGCCTCTGGTATTCCATAAACTACCGCTCTGGCATTATTCGTGGAAAAGGCGATTACATCACATGAGAGGCAAATCGATTTACCGAAGCCTGTAGTAGGCGGGTTGACAAACACATCTCATTTTCTTTAATTATTGTTTGAATCGCATTCTTCTTCTGATCATTGAAAGTACAAATACGAAATAATGGGCGACTTCAAACAATGCTTGATCATACGACGCCATCTTTGTTTCGGAATTATTAAATTTAAGCGCGAATGAGTTCCTGATTTTGGTACTCAGGCTGTGATTGGCTAAACAATCGGAATGGAATGTGTTGCTGCAGTAAGCAACCTGTACGTGGGGAGAAAACCTCGGACCTGCAAACAGGCTTCGTAGGAGACTAAGACCCCGTTTACACGGTACCGGACGAATTTGGGACCGGACGAAAATTCGTCCTTTTTCGCCTGTTTACACGCGAATTCGTCCTGTTAGGGGGTCTCAAATTCGTCCGGTTCCGTGGTTCTCGTGTGTTTACACGGCCGAAACGGCCGAATTTTCGTCCGGTCACAAATTCGTCCGGTACCGTGTAAACGGGGTCTAAAGGTTTATCGGAATGATGGAATTTTACCAACTTAGGGGGAAATATACGGTCAATTGCTTGCACAAATTGTGATGTAAGAGATGTTGTTAGATCATCAACTGTGGTTGTAGGTCCAAGTTCACTAACCAATCCTGGCTTATAGCCCATCTCCCAAAAGCGTCAATACAAGATCGAGGGTATCAACGCACCAGACGTTTAATAGACTTGGTGTGCAAACTTGGGTTTGATTTCGTTAAGTCAGGAGACCATGTGACAATATTGTGATCTGAGGATCCAAGTGGGGCTAGAACTTGGGGGGCTTCATAAAGGTTTGATAGGTTGGTAATGATGAGATCTAGAATAGCCGAGCCTCTCGTGGGAGCCTGGACCAATTGTTTTAAGTTATGTCTTGGTAAAAGGTTCGCTGTTTGGAAATCATTAAAATCGCCTAGGGAAACAACACCACAATTGGGATATTGGTTGCGTAGAATATCCGCGCTATTGGTTAAATATTCGTTTAGGAGGTAATGTTCATGCTCGGGCAACCCTGGTGGGTGGTAGACGACACAGACTGCAATGCCTGAGAGGGGTCTAGGTAGGCGAGTGGGGCGCAGCCAAAGCCACAAGCACTCAAAATTGTCGCTTTCAAGGTTTAGCATGGATATGCTCAGAGAGATAAACACATACCCCACCTCCCCGTCGATAAGGGCGATCCCTTCGGAAAATGTTATAACCCCTAATTGAAACAAGGTTATCTTCTATATCATCGTTCAACCATGTTTCCGTTACTGCCACCAAATTTACTGTGTTCACTGTTAGATTTGCGATAAGTTCACCAACCTTTGGTAAAAGGGAACGTGCGTTTATTAAAGCCAATTTTGGGAGCATGGGTTTCATAACTTTGTTCGTTTCAACAGGGTTACACCGTCTTTCTCGTATTAAGGTAAATGCGTTCCGCATATTTTGCTTAGGCCTGTGACGACGGTTACGATAAGAAGTTCTGTGGCCTATCCCTATAGCTATTTTCTCGGTTGGAATATTTATAACATTTTGTTTCCCCACATGATAGCCTATGCGAGGTGTTATTTGCACCGGAATTTTGTTCCGTTCTCTGATAGTTGGGGTGGGTATTGGGTTATGTGTACATGGATGTCCGACAATGATCGCTACCCTATTGTTAGTCGAACATATCTTAGGTAGCATCTCGTTTATGGTAGGTTTCAATCTTAGGTCGGTTTCGTTCACAGTACGTTTCGTTCCCGCTTGGGGATTGTCTCGGAGACGGATGAGACATTTCCATTCGTTCGTAGTGGGTTTCGATCTCAGGTGGATTTCGTTCATGATACGTATACGTTTTCTTCTCACTCGGGGATTGACTCGAGTGGGATAGAATGCTTTGGCTCTGTGACGGGTGCGATGGAACAGGGTGCTTTGCCAAGAAGGGGTTTGTAACATATTATGTTGATCTTTCTGTTCTGTATAGTTGTTCGATTTTGGAAATTCGATGAGGGGCAGATTTAACTTAGATACAAGTGTTGGGGATATGGGATTCGCTTTTATTGCATGACAAAAAACAAGGTCAGCTATTGTTATTAATGAAATCTGTCGTTGCTCGAGACAGTTGGATAGATTGTCATTTGCATATGTTGTGAATTCTGTTTGTTGAGCACTGATTACTATCACAGTTTGGTTCCACTTGATCAAAACCCTGAGGGCTAATTAAATTTGTTTGTTGAAGGCTATTTTGATTATGGCGTTGGTTGTTACTAACAATTAATTGATCCCATGGTTTATAATTTTCTTTGGAACTTTCTTTATTTGTTTCAACAATTGAGATTTCATGTATGCTTGAGTTGCCGTTTATGCTAAGTGGAGTGGTTTCATAATTCACTTTCCCGTCATTATCTTTATTATCATTTGTTGAGTTCGGCAGTTTGTTATTACTTTCCGTTGCTAATGAGCCGCTTCGTTGGTCATCGCCAAACATTTGCATTTCAATGTCGGCAGGAACATTATATTCACTACACAAAATACATTACGGTATAGTATACAGTAGACTTCCTTAAGTGATTTTCAGTCGTTTATAATTGAATTGACTGGATTTTATTTAACCATTTCACTATTTATGCTTTTGTTTCTGTTCCGTGAGACTTTTCAATAGAAAAAACGTTCCCCTCCAGTTCGGAAATTCATGACTTTAAGGTCAAGTTCACTCTATTTAATCTGCATAAATCTTGTTTACTTGTATTTATAATTTTAACTTGTTCAGAAAGTTTTTCCAACAAATTTACCATTTCCGATTCGATCTTTTCTTTAAAAATGAAAAAACGTGCCTCCATTGTAACGGAATTATCATTAACACGCTTCTGATATGGAGTAGAATTACCGATTTCTTGGGCGAAATTTCTAGTACAGTCCTCCCTCGGCAAAGTGGTCGCATTATAAAATGAATTGTCAATAAAATCCTCAAGTTCCTTGAGCGTTGAGGTATCAGCAACCGATGCCGTGTCTTTGCTTATAGGTACATGTGTTAGTTAGGTCATCAAAATAAACCCTTGTGACCCCAGCTGATTTCTTGTCTATATTGACTTGCCGGGGCGGCGATTTTACTTCAATAGGGCTCACAGATACAGCCTTCGTTTCGCAGATATTTATCAAGAATTCCCTGAACAAATATCCCTCTTTACCTTGGAATAAAAGCATTCTCTGCTTACCGCAGTACCACGTTATTGTCAGATCGGAATTGCTGCTCTTAAACTTCTTTGAGTTGCCACCCGGCGAAGTCCATTTGCGGCTTGCCGTTTAATCCAGCAATGTTTTTTAAAAATTTCTGCAATTTGTCAATTAAGTTATTGTTCCATTTTAGACGCTTACCGTCGTAGGCAAGGTTACAATCATCATTATAACGTCGAAAGGCACCAAAAAAACCAGTTTTGAACGCTAAATGTAGACTATTGCACAGAGCTAGGAATTTTGAAAAGGAAAAGCTACATATTTGAAAGGGAAGCAAGTTCATTGCATGTTTTACGCAAAAAATAAAACCACAAAATTCATAAACAGTAAACATTCAAAGCAAACATTCCCTATATTTCACGACTTCCCATAGACCAAAATTGCATGAAAGCTCATTGTATGAAACAACTTTCCAAATATATGTTCAGGCAAATTGAAATCTTGCTTATATCCCACTTGATCCTGGCAAACAGCCATATTTTAATTAATTGAGATCAGCGAGGTTCACCCATGACATGATGAAACATAGCCACGCGCCCGCGATTATTGATGAACTTTAGATTCCGCTATAATGCTTTCTTTTCCCCGGGTGAGCCGAGCGGAATTAGTAACCTCGCCCCGATTAGTAACCTCGCCCCGATTAGTAACCTCGCCTCATGCAATCCTACTTTGAAAGGCATCTTAAAACATTATTTTTGGCCTCTATATACTGTGTATATTGATGTACACATTCAGGGCCGCGTAATCGGCGACAAGCAAGTGCTCGAGTGAAGCCGAATTTTAAACAAAATGTTTCGAATCTTGTATATATATTTTAATAAAATATATAAAAGGTTGGCGACCTTAAAATGTTGGCGACCAGACATCACTTCTTATTCTTATAATCACTTAACTCAAGCATTTTAAAACTTAATTGTCGGTATGAAATAGTTTTAACACCTTTTCAACATCGAATCCTGACCTCAAGAAGAAATACTGAATAGTATATATTGACATAAACCTTTAGGTGAACACACCTTTAATTAGGGCGAATGGGCGATTTATATAGGAAGTAGTCTAGACTTGCATGGCACCTTACAGCTTTAGTAATTTAGATTTTAGGGTTTCTCATGCGATCAGTGGAAACGATCTATATCCCATATCATGTATAGGTATATACAACAATAATATTTATTGGTAACCATGAATACCTGAACCTCGAAACGATGAAGGGGTATGCAAAGAAAAGAATTATCAAAAATAGTAGACCGACTATGATTAGTTTGTAACCATGAAAGCAGGCACCACAATACACATACCAATACAGGGTGTCTGAAAAAATGCTATGGAAATTCAACAGGCTGTTGTGCATCACCAACTTAACTAAACAATTCAATTTTTGCATAGGACGAAAGAGCAGTTATTTAGCTTTTCTATAATGCCTTTCTTAAGCCGCAACGATGAGAAATGGCCACATATATACTCGTCAAATAAAAATTCGCGGTCGAAATCACATTCTTCCACCGTTGGGAATTGAAACTACATTAATTATGCAAAGTTAATCAATCCAAAAGGAACACGAGCCTGCTGCGCAGCAAGGTACTTGTTTCGTAAAACGTTTTGATTACTATAATGTTCTCTGTTAAGTGGTTAATTGAACCATGTTTAATGCGATAATGACGTTCTTATGGTCTCACTAATTAAAAGACGAAGATTCACGAGTTGAGCTTATTTTAGATAATTTAACATTCCATTTTAATTCCCTCTTGGGGGAATTGTTTATGTTTCCTTTTCCATGCAATTCCTAACGGCGAAAGAATGTGATTTCGACTGGCATTTTTTACTTGACGAGTATGTGGCCATTTCTCATCGTTAGGATTTAAAAAGAGTATAATTGAAAAGCTAAATAACTGTTCTTTCGTCCTATGTAAAAATTGAATTGTTTAGCCACGTTTATGATGCGCGACATCCTGTTGAATTTCCATAACGTTTTTTTTAGACACCTTGTATAAGTGGACATGCTGCATGGGGGGATAGAATGTCGTTAATGGAAATTTTATTAAGCATTTCAGTGATATCGATATTCGTTTCGCACGGCAATATGAAAGGAAGAGTCCCTACAGCAGTCTTTACTCATTTCCGTTTCTCAACAAATGTATGATGGTATCTTATGTAACCATGTATGCATGCATTTCAATTGAAGTTCAGCCACCTGTTTCCGCTCAACATAAGCATTGCTCTTTCCTGAGGATTTTGGAAACCGACATCTGCGTTGAGAGATAAATATAGACCAACATAAACTTAATATCCCCTTTCAATGTTTATTTTCGCTTCTGAGAAATGTAACATTTTGGTTTCATTGAATTGTCATGTAAATTAGCAATAATAAATAAAAAACTAAATAAACACTGAGATGGGCAATTTGCTGGCATACCAACTTAAGTTGGTCGGTTGAATCATAACATATCCCGCTAATTTCTGAATATAAACCCCCTCGAATATAAGTCCCCAAGTGTATAAGCCCACCATATTCACTAACGCTCAGGCCATTATTTCGAATATAAGCTTCTCCGTATTTTAACCCCTCCGTGTGTAAGCCAACGCTGTAAATTTCAAGGAATTGAATCAACTCCAAAAGTTATTTCGTTTTCAACATACCAGCTTTATGATTTTGTGTTTTTCCCTTGAGAAATGCGAGATTGGCCTTAGCATAATCAGGTTTTCCAGATCTCCACACAATCGTTGTGTCATCAAGATCGCCACGTTCGGGTTCACGCAAATTGTACTTTTCTTTTAATTTGTTTAGATCCATACGAGCCATACATGTTGTTATATTATCCATCAGTCGTTGTTTTAAAAAACTCTATACCCGCGACTTAAATTTCTTTGTAGTAGTTCGAGGTAAAGTTTCTTTAAATTATTGTATGTTCGTACGTGTACTCAAGCGCCGACCTTAGGAACAAAAAATTATTTATTCCTAGTCCTTAATTTAATAGACATGATCCCTATATAATTATCATAATATCATAGCTATCTCGAAATCCTTTGTCTCGCAAGATGCAATTAATGCATGACTAATTTTACGTCATTGCTAAAATATGAGGGACGAAGAAACTATCATCCCACGTCATCTTTATGCATAACGTCTTATACAGCTGATTGATGTTCAAAAAAACATGAAAAATCAACGGTAACCTCATCAACGAACTCCTTTTTCATTTCAACTTATTCAATCGAATGAACCGTTTTATTGTCTCGGTATAGCTATGATATTACAAAGTGATAGCATAGCATTATGGTCGATTAGTATGGGTAACTTGTTTCGAGGGGAATTTGAGAAAAACATGCACGATTGAGTTTTTCAAAGACGATCAAAATTGCATGAGTCCGAAGGACGGGTCTTTGAAAACGCACGAGTGTATGTTTTTCCAAATTCCACGAGAAACCGTACTATTACTTATTAATAATATACTTGAAAAAATTATGCAGTCATATTCATACGTAGGTCACATGCGAAATAAATAATTTTAATATAAGTAATTTTATTAGAAAGTAATTATATTATCATTGTTCACCATCCATCGTTCAGGTTGTAGCATAAGCCAGAACAATTATTATAAATAATAGCATGTATGGCAATCAGGCATTCAGTATTTCATATTCATTAAATGTACCCGAAAGCCGAGAGAGGTTTGGTAAAAGTCCCGAGGCGAGGACTTTTACTAAACCGCTCGAGGCTTGAGGGATATTTCATCACTAATATAAATGAAAAAAATTCTCAATTCTGATTGGCTAAGAGCAGTGCAATTTTTTCGAAATACAGTGCAAAAAAGTGATAATTAACTAATTCTTGGGAGTTTATATCCCACTGAACACACGTGATCATTTTCTACCCTATACAAAATGCTCGTGTTGTGCAGTCGTATTTCAAATTTAGTGATAAAACACTCCCAGGGCCGTCGCGAGCGGGGAGGTGTGTGGGGGTGCTTCGCCCCCCCCGTCCAATAATTTTCGCAAGTCGGTCCAGTCGGCAAATTGCTTCGTTACGGTTCGGCAAATCGCGAAATTGGCATTCAACAAATTGTAAAACTTGAGAACAAAGGCGTTAGATAAAGCGATACATTTTAGATTTAAAACTAAATGTATTTCTAGTAAGTAATATTAGTCTTTTATTTGTCGAAAATCGACGGGAGGCTGAAATGTGAAACCCATGTTTTCTGACTAACACATCAACAGTTCCTAATCCTCGGGCATGTTCTTCGCTCGATTGCTCTTATAGCGAAGGCTCTTTATCAATTATGCGCGGTTCAAAACCCAAATCAACAAAATAAAACTTCAGTGTCTTGAATAATGTAATTCGATTTTTGACGACGATTACCGTAAGAGGCACGATCAAACTTGCCATAAGGGATAGCGAGTGCGACTGTTCGAGTAGCACACAAAGACGTACCGGCTAATCCGTTTGAGGCTGCAAAGCGCAGTCAAAGCCAAAGAGAGTATATTTTTGAGTCGTCAGAGGTGCAATATCCTCAAGAAGACTCCACAGGCACAAGAGGAGAAGACCAAGAGAAAGACAACCATGCCGTAAGAACGGACTTGTCTTCTTTAGCGAAAGTACTGTTAACTCGGATCAGCCTACGCCCTACACTGCGCCCTACAGTTTTGAAAGACATACCGCATACAGCGATCGGTATCATCGGTTGTATATCCGTTTTACTCGCTTTCTGACGCATAAAGTTTAAACGCTTGGAAAATCGGGTCGTACAAAAGCCCACTATCCACCACTAAGAGTGTTTTAAGACTGTTCGAAATACAAAAAAAATTAGAAATTGTCTATTCGGTGCCTGGGGATAAAAAATGTCAAATTCATCAAATTGCCATGAAAATATTGAAACAAAATATCAATGCAATAACATGCAGATACTCGGATAACTTTGCTGACTTTGCGGAGATGCGCGTCTGCACCACAGTCTAAGACACTTGTTAAGGCTGATTTCCATTATTGCGTTTTTCGTATGCACGTACACGCACGTAAAACTTTGAATCCTTCAATTTTTTAAATATTTTACAAATAAGATAACAAATGCATACTAAAACTTGCGGAACACTAAATTCTGTTGCTTTGTTTATTTGGTTATTTCATAAGTAACATTTAACAGTCCATATTATGGTCATATTGCTCAACGTGTTGGGCTATCTTGGAATTCTTATCATTATATTCAACAGCTCTTTTATGTTCTTTTCTTCTTGTTTTCAATGCTCGGTTGGTTTTGACCATAATAAGTAAAATCACAAGCAGAACATTCAATTTTATAAACGATGTCCCTTGTACGGTTGGTGTCTAGCTTATCTTTTGGCTTTGGAAATTCTTGCTGTAATGTGCGAGTTGGTTGGAATGAAACACGAATTTTCTCACGTTGTAATGTTCTTGTAATTCTTTCTGTAACGCCCTTTATATATGGTAGAACAACATAACTAGATGAAACGGTTGAATTTTGCGTTGCATTCACATTTTCGTGCGAACTATTTAATTCCTTGTTTTTGTATCGCCTGCTGTTATCACAGCTTTTTATGAATTGTAAGGGGTAACCGTTATCTCTTAGGACCTTTAGGACATGTTTTCTCTCTCTACGTTTTCCTCGGTTTGTTGAGGGTATTTTCTCTGCCCTATCGAGTAAAGTATTAACTACAGGGTGATTTGACGTGTAATCCAGGTATTTGTCCGTATGCGTCTTTTTACGGTAAACATCAACCCTAATTTGACTATTTTGCCTAATTGTTACAGTATCCAAGAATGGTAATCTATTATTTTCTTCCGCTTCAGTGGTGAATTGGATTTGCTTGTCTATTGAATTTAAATGCTGATGAAACTCCTCTACATATTTACGTTTTAGGCAAGCATGGCTATCATCAACAAACCTGGACCACCCCACAATTAGGCAAAATAGTCAAATTAGGGTTGATGTTTACCGTAAAAAGATGCATACGGACCAATACCTGGATTAAACGTCAAATCACCCTCCACAACACAAGCGATCTGTAGTTAATACTTTACTCGATAGGGCAGAGAAAATACCCTCAACAAACCGAGGAAAACGTAGAGAGAGAAAACATGTCCTAAAGGTCCTAAGAGATAACGGTTACCCCTTACAATTCATAAAAAGCTGTGATAACAGGAGGCGATACAAAAACAAGAAATTAAATAGTTCGCAAGAAAATGTGAATGCAACGCAAAAATCAACAGTTTCATCTAGTTATGTTGTTCTACCATATATAAAGGGCGTTACAGAAAGAATTACAAGAACATTACAACGTGAAAAATTCGTGTTTCATCCCAACCAACTCGCACATTACAGCAAGAATTTTCAAAGCCAAAAGATAAAGCTAGACACCAACCGTACAAGGGACATCGTTTATAAAA